CTTTTTGACGGAAAACAATGAGGATGAAGCATGAGAAATACCCTTATACGAAGTAGAAAATATCTTTTCTCTTGCTACAAATATCCCAGTTAATTAAGAAAAGCAACATTGGAATATGCTAGACTGCCCAAATAAAGACTTCAGCGGCACAAACATGGGAACAAAAATGTAAACATTTAAAAATTTTGACCTGTCACCTAATAGGCTCATTTTATTATCAGGATAGTCTCTGGGAAATACCTCAGCTTTATTACTGTGTAAATAGCATGGTTACAGAACAATATTTTACAGGAATATAAGCTCAGTTACAATGCAAAATGTTTTAAAAGCTCTATCAGTTCTTAGGAACTAAAGAAGTCTCACAGCTTTGAAAAATAATCCATTTTGAAGAAATTTATTTTAATTGTCAGTTTAATTTCTGAATGTGGCCCTATGTATTTAATAAAGAGGAATACAACTATCATAGGTTTTTAGTATTAATGAAGTCAGATGGAGAATATAAAAAAAAACTTTCACCTATGAACATATTTCATTTCACTGGTTATGACAATGGAAAATTAGGAACCTTTAAAAATAATAACATTTTTCTACTCATATATATCAATATATAGCTATAATTGCCTATCAACTCCCCTAGTTATGAAGATGATCTTTGCCCTGGAAAAAATGATGAGAATAGTGGACAAACCTCCTCAAAAGTTTTGATCACTATTCAGTAAAAGACACTTGGCATTTATATCTGCTTATTATTTTTAAAAATGTAATCTGAAAAGAAAAATGTTAATTATTTTTGGGAAGGGGCTGGAGAAATCCACGTCAGACATTCTGTAGAGAGGTCTTTTGTTAGTGTAACATCTGACCTTCTATATCTTTGGAAATCATACAACTTGGCTAATGCAGTTCTTAAAGAATTAATCAAGCAGATTGTTAGGCCCTAGTTACAGTGAAGCGAGCCAATTATGAGTTGCTCAGAAATGCATCACTGGCATGTCCAACCACATTTTCCCACATAAAGATTAGTAGAAATATGTGGAAACAGGGCCCATTCCCACCTCAGCAGAGCTATAATATGTGTTCACTGAAACAAATTTCAACCAAGTTTTGCCTTAGTGAAACAAACAATTTATTTGGGAATCTTTTTGATTTCTGTCTTTACCAGTAACACCTTTTTCTGCCAACATTGCAAAGGCTGTCCTATTTAGTTAAAACCCAACTATGGATTTTTATATTCAAACACACTTTTGAATTCAGAGCACTAAGGTCACATGCCACAAGCCTGAATTCATCTGTAAGTTAGTGAAATCTCCAAAGACCATCTTTAGTCTTTTCACTGTTGTGATAACGCCCTCCCAAGGCTTACTAAGAAGAAAGCTTTTCTTGCAAGAGAGAAATGAAAGGGGCCAGAGAAGATGAAGATTGGTTCTCTAAGGACAGGACAGTGTTGCTTTTAAATAAAGAAGCTCCTTTCAGATAAGCAGAATCAGATTCTAGTTCATTTGGTTTGCTGGCTACCCTTACTTTGAACTCTCATATTTAACCCAGCAGGCTTCAAAGCAGGTGAGAAAATGCCCTACCACTTAAAAGCAATTTTTCCTTTTTCAGGAATTCTAGCCTTGGAGAATATCAGTTCTCATATCAGCACATTCCACATCTCCAGGGATTTATGCAATTTTTTTTCATTGCTCTATGTCTCCTATCAGACGAGGTTTTCATCTCAGCCAGGAGAAAAATCAGGGAAAAAAAAGTACTAACTTGCTGAAAATGAAGTCTTATTCCACATAGCTTTAAACCATGCAAAAGGAGAAGGCGCACTAAAACCACTAACTATTCTAGTTCATTCCCTTCCATTTACTTAAATCTGATGTACAGAGAGGATTATTAAAAATCATTAATCCCTAGTGCCTTGCTTCACAGAAAAGCAACTTTTGTAAAAAATCCATTTTAACAAATTCAAATTGAGTTCACTCTAGCATGTGAGCTAATACAAAAAAGATATTAGATGAGGAAGAGACAATGGTAACAATGGAAGAAATTTAGGAAATTTTCTTAAATTGCTTTGCCTTACCAAATAGAAGAACAAGTATGTTTCCAAGATTTCTCATTGATTTCTACTGTATTTGGCCATCAAATATCTGACTTAACAGAAAATCTTAACATAGGCAGTTTGCAACTTACAAATAGGTTCTGTTCTACAATGTAGTTTGCCAGTGCCTAGAATTTGAAACATTTCTCCACTTTCTGTGGTTCACATACACATGATGTACCAGAAGTATAGTACTAACAGTATTGGTTAAATGACACTCAACCACCATTTATACTATAACTTCTATGGGAAAATGCATTTTGAGTTTACTATTTGGACATAGTTCCTCCAAATGTGAAGGGGATAGGGTTTCCCACTATAGCTGCACTTTGGTGATGATGATGACAAAGACGGTGTCGACAACAGCGAACACTCACCTAGTTTTTACTATGGGCAGATATGGTTCTAAACACTTGACATATTTTAAACTCATTTAGCCCTCACAAAAATAGTACTATTCTCATTTTACAATGAGGGGGAGAAAAGGTTAAGTAACTTACCCGAGACTGCACAGCCATTAAAGTGTCAGGGCTGGAATTCAAAGCAAAGCAGTCTGGCTCCAAAACCTATGCTCATAACTACTCTGCAATGCCGCCCCTTCTCCACTGTGAAGAGGTGGCACTATCCTGGCATTCTAAATTCCTCTTATTGGGGGTAGAGCAGAGCAGGGCTTCTCAAGCTTTAAATGTGCATATAGGATCACCTGGAGATCTTGTTAAAATGCCAATTCAGGAGGTCTGGAGTGGTGCCTGAGGTTCTGCATTTCTAACAAGCTCCTGGGTGATGGTGATGCTCCTAGTGCATAGACCACACTTTACTAACTGTTAGGAAGTAGAATTTGAGCCTCTAGTTCCCTAGCTGGCTATCTGTCTGTTGAGGCATTTATACATTGTGTTTATAATCTGGAGATTGCCTATAACGTAATCATTTTCATTAATTCTTAAACGGAACATGCCCTTGGAACTGCTGCATACCAAATATTGGTTTGCAGGTACTTTCTGTAAATACTTAGCTTTAGGAACTTAAAATGTACACATAAAGGCCACAAGGATAAAACGTGGCTGTAAAAGTTTGCTCTCAGGCACATTTTTAACACTATACATCATGAACTATACGAACACCAAAAGATAGAAAATAAATGCCTGTTTATTGTTCATCAACTAGCATCACAGTAAATTAATAACTTTTGGTCTAAAAAAGAAGTTTCTACTTTAAAATGCATAAGTATTCATTCTCAGACTGTGCTAGAGGAGTGCTAAGGAGCTTGTGCTATGTAACCTTAAAGGCTCTTCTGGTTCGTCAGTGATCTCTTAGGTACAGGCAGACACTATATACCAATGATGATGGATAGAACAGATAGTGAGCACATTCCACATTAATTTCAGCCAGTACCTCATGTAAGTACACTACTTACAATAGCTACATATCTATTCCAGATTCTAGGTCTCCCTGCTTGTTATATTTTACCTCCTTCCCACTATCTAAGGAGCATCTCTCCCACTGCTTGCCTGTGATCTCAAATAAACAGCTGCATATTTTTTTCCAGTTGTTAAATGGATGAGATTCCCTTTCTAGTCAATTTTTTTTCTATGCCAGATTACACAGTAAGGTCATTTCAGTATGAGACAGACTTGGCTCCCCAGTCAGTACCACTGCAAACAACAGAGTTATGGTATGATCACTAAGCTTCCTTTTCACACTAAAAGGAAACAGAATAGTCAGTTTCCAACTCAAATATCTATACTCCCTGAACACCAGTAGAAAGTCATTCTTCTTGAAGCTTGACCAGAATCAAGTGCAGTTTCAGACTCCTAGGCCTACAGCCAGTGGCAACTTAACACATTATACAGTTGACCTTCAGGGAAAAAGGGAAACCAGTGCTCTTACTACTGGTGCCAGAAGAAAACCAACTAATCGTTAAGGTACAAAATAAACTATTCTTAAGGCAAGAAAAGAAATTGTGAGGAAACAGGGAGTTAGAATGGAGGCATATAGAGACAAACATAGAAATTACATTACCAAGTAAGGGCTACTGTGTCTACAGTAATCAGTGCTTTTCTATTTGGGAATATAATGCATCAGCATTTTCTTTTTGGGTTTGAACTCTTATGATCTGGTGAAAATGCGAAGACATACAAGAAAGACACGTTTTATTAAAAGGCTTGGAGACTTAAAAGGACTTATCTTTGGTAATTTCACTTTAAGCCAGTGACATTAATTATGTTTATGTAGAAGAGTAAATAATCATGGGATACCCTCTCTAATATCAATCCTCAAGTACTTTCTGGACCTGGGTCAAGAAATGGGGAAGCACTTCAAAACTAAAGGGTAAAAATGAAAATAAAGCTCTATATATGGTTCTAAACCCAATGTTGGGGAAGGTCAATAAGAACATGCAGATACAATAACAGGGAGAACCTTTGAGTAAAGAGGCACATTCTGTACCCAGGGCAAATGTCCCATATTTCTCATCTTACCTACCTATTCTCCATCCTAGTTGTTCTCTTGAATTTAAAGTTCAGCAAATCCTTAGAACTAAAGATTTCATTTAAAAGGAAAAATCAAAAGGCTTGTTACAAAATAGGGAAATTTTTTAAATGCCAAAAAAATGCATTTAAGAGTTGGATTATTCTTTAGCTAGTAATAAGTGCTATGTTTACCATCAAAAGTGATCTACAAAGACCAATTTTATAATGTTATGCCATTGTATTCTTTAAGCTTTTAAGCAACAAAATATAGCTCAAATCACCAAAAACTTATGTTTGACATATTCATGGCAGCAACTTTACAAATCAATTCCTTTAACTTACTATAACAAATATCTTTCACTGATCAACTGGTTTAGCACAAACAGATCAGAGATGGTTTCTTGTGTGTTTTACAAATACTCTACACAAGTCCTTGAGATCATACTTACAGCTTTAGCAAAAACACCCATGATTTCAGGAAACTGGTGTGTGAGAAGAGCTATCATTGCTGTAGAAGAGCACAGTCCTGCTGTGAAATGGATGAAAAAAGGAAGCTCCTTCTTTGGGTAAACAGAAACATGATGAAAGGCTGCAAGGGAGAAAAGGTAGAAATGGATTTTATTTCAGAATACAGTGTAAGCAAGGCAGTTTTAATATCTTCAGATGAAATCTATTTTTAAAAACAAAAAAGGAAAATAATTTTTTTAAAAAAGAACAAGAAGTCTCTGGCCAAGCAAGGTAGAAGAAAGTTATCCATTATTGATTCTAGCATTGACAGCATATCTACATAGCCAGATGACTGTGCTGGGGACTGGGAATAGGACGGCATCATGTGAAAGAACATTAATTGTAAAGTCATGCTGAGGTGGTTTTGAAAAAGCGCTTTGTCACTTATTAGCTGTGTGATCTTGAATAAGTTGCTACTACCCTCTAGTAGTTGCTATGGAGTTGTTATGATGAACACTGGAAGCCCTTAATAAATATGACTTGTTATAATTCTTGCTCTTGGGGAGCTCAGAGACGAATACAGAGATCAAGAGACAGGTTATCATCAGTTAATAATTTTACCCAGTTATCAATAAGTGTTCCATACGTGGCATTTCATCGAGCACTGTAAAAATCGAACTAGAACACCAAAGCCCTAGGATTCTGAACATAAATGAAGTCCCTTGTCTTATTTTATCACAGGTAATCACTTTTCTAATGATTAGATATTTCATTACCAATGGTATTAAAGCATTTATAGCTTATTTGAAATTTGAAAATACTTGAATAACAATGCTGAGATAAGCCGATTGCAATGTATGGCACACAGTAGGTGCTCAATAAATGTCTGGCAAACTGACAGCTATTCTGGGACTACATTAGTCCAGGAAGTTGACCGCTCAGGGCTGGACACAAACCCAGGAATTCCTGATGTAATATCCTGCATAAGTAAGGGATGACTAATTCAGTGCTGAATCAAGGTCAGCTATAAATTTCACTTTTTAAAATATGATTCACCTAAGATCACACCTAAGTTTCCTTCAGTAGCCATAATGTTTTTTCTGTCTTATACTATATTGAGAAAGTATATACCAAAAACCAAACTCATTAAAAATTCAGAAAATTTCCACAGCTTTGAGTCATGTTTAAAGTTTTTTGTTTTTTTTTTGTGAGGGAGATCAGCCCTGAGCTAACATCCGTGCTAGTCCTCTTTTTGCCGAGGAAGACCGGCTCTGAGCTAACATCTATTGCCAATCCTCCTCCTTTTTTTCTTCCCCAAAGCCCCAGTAGATAGTTGTAGGTCATAGTTGCACATCCTTCTAGTTGCTGTATGTGGGATGCGACCTCAGCATGGCCGGAGAAGCGGTGCGTCGGGGCGTGCCCGGGATCCGAACCCGGGCTGCTAGTAGCGGAGCGCGCACACTTAACCGCTAAGCCACCGGGCCAGCCCGAGTCATGTTTAAAGTAAAAGCACAGGGCCGGCCCTGTGGCTTGGTGGTTAAGTGCGCGCGCTGCGATGCTGGTGGCCCGGGTTCGGATCCCGGGTGCGCATCGAGGCACCACTTCTCCGTTCATCCTGAGGCCGAGTCCCGCATACAGCAACTAGAAGGATGTGCAGCTACGACATACAACTATCCACTGGGGCTTTGGGGGGAAAAAATAAAATAAATAAAATCTTTAAAAAATAAAAAAATAAAAAAAAATAAAGTAAAAGCACACCAGATCTGTATTTTTTTAAAAGTTAGAAACATTAGAAGCTGTGGACAACATTGTGCTTTCAGCACCCAAAAAACCAGCAGTCCCTTTTGCCCTATCCCTCAGCCATGAGAGGCCAACTTCTTCCAGCAAACCTAGAGAAATAAACCATGGTATTTGTGAAGATAGGGAACAAATACTTATGTATACCAATGGTTACTATAATTGCTATCGCATGAGAGACAGCAAAATTAGTAATATTAAACTATATAGCATTTTATGGTTTACAAAGAGCTTTAATTTATATTAATTTGTTTGATTTTTTTTCAATAACCCTAAGAAATAATATTATTCCCACTTTATAAGGTAGAAAACTGTACAGCTTTTAGTAATATAATTTTCTAAAATATGAGATTTTTATACTGTAGGAGAAACCTAATTATTCCTTTTTGGATTGCTTTCTGTAGATGTGTTTGTCCGTCAATGTTTGGCTAATACATCAATATAATGGATGGCTGGTACAGAAACACTCCCTGGAAGTAAAGTTCAAATTTCATCACTGGTTTGTAGAGACAAAACTTATCAGGAGGCATAAAAGACAACTAAATAGCTATGTGAACTGAGGGAACAGTTCAAGTCTGAACTTATATGAGGTTCATAAGAAAATACCAGAATGCTGTAAGTCATATCAAGGTTGAAGGAGAACTGAAAACAAAAAACATTAAGTACTCCTGGGTATTAGATTCCACATTATTAAAAATTTGTTCATTCTACCACAGTCAGAGACAGAAAAAGTACTCTAAGAACATACAATATAATCAAACGAAACCCCCCAGATATCCCTCCTCTCCTACATCCTGGAATTTGCAAATGAGTAGCAGCACCCTAGAAATAATAAAAGCCTGCCAAAAAGTAAATTGTCTGTTCTTATAGCCTATGGCTCTGACAATGCATGATAATAACCCTGATTTTATTCATATTGCTATGTAAAGTTGGCCTTATATCAGGCAACCTTTGTAATAATTTAGGGAGTATTATTTTAGGCTAAATGTATTAGCCTAATATAATACACTCTTGCAAATTGATGTTCCATAATTAAATAACTGGTTCCTTTGCCTTAAATATTCTTGTTCCTCTTAAAATGGAAAAACAAAAACAACGACTACCACCACCATCCTAGAAAAGAAAATAAAATTTCTCTCACTAACGACCTTCTAATTGCCAAAGTCAATGGATTCTTCTCAGTAATTACCTTACTTAATATCTTAGATACTCCTCCTCACTTAGAAATTTTTTCCTCCTTTTAATTTCTAGGATATCTAGTTCTGGTTCTTATCCTGTCTTTCTGACCACTCCTTCACAGGATCTTCCAGACTCCTTATCAGCCACCCATTCCTTAGACATTTTTGTGCCCCCATGGTTCCACTCTTAGTTTACTTCTCACTCTATACAGTTTCCCTCAGTGATCTCATTCATGTAGGAAAAATGATGACTCCCAAATCGGTTTTGTGATGTAGACAGAAAGAGATATCAGGACTCTGGGTAATTTTATTTACACAACCTGATTCTGTCCCTAGGCCATGGCTGACTGTACCAGGGATGAACACCTGGGTAAATCTGATTCTCTCTCCCAGAAGTTTTAGTAGTGGGATTGAGATATTATTCATTTTGTATTGTTTGCCTGACTGATGACACGTAAACTCAGAGCTGTAAAGGGGCATCAAGTTTGGCTACCTGAGTGTCCAAGCAGGGAAAGCCAAACTGCAAAGAGAGAGAGATAAAAATGAAGCAGATACATTGAGAGAAGCAGAAATGAGAACTCATACAAAGAGAAGATGGAGTTGGGGAAAGAAAAAAGAAAGTGAGAATAGGAGAGACTGAAAAAGACAGCCAGAGATAGAGATATACAGATAACTGACTCCTGGAAATCCTGATATCCTTCTAGTTCCTGGTTCTAGTCCCTTCTGAGATCCAACTGTAATTGTTGCCTTTGGATTCTTTGAGAAAATCCAGTCTTCTTCAAACAAATTCTCTTTATTTTTAAGCTAGTTTGAAGCAGCTCTCTATTATTTATACCCAAAGAATGCCTACAATATTTACTATATTTAATATAGTATATATTAATACTATATATTAAATATATTTATATATTTTTAAAAATATACATATTATACTTACAAAATATCTTATTATTTAGAGATATAAAATATAAAGACTATGTATGTGTATATGTTAAACAGATTATGTAATAAAATATTTAAGCATATATATATATACACACACACATACACACACTGTTAAAAAAAAGAGACAGGCCCAAAATGGAGTCACTTGTGCTAAGCCCACATCACCAAATGGAGACTTAATAGTTAACCTATTTGCAGTTTCAACCTCCCCCAGGAATGTATCTTAACCAGTCAGTTTGGAATTTCCTAGTCAGCAGTAGTGAGGCAATCTGTCTGATAGATCCCTTTTGTCTCCTAAAGGAAGGTGACGCTGCCTGAAACAATCCATTCTTTTCTCCCTTCTGCCTACAAAAGCCTTCTGTTTTGTACAGCTCCTCAGAGATTCTTCCTTTCTGCTAGGTGGGATGCTGCCCGATTCATAAATCATTGACTAAAGCCCATTACATCTTCAAATTTATTTTATTGATTTGTTTTTTAATAACAATGGGTGAGATGTTAGACATGCAACATACTCAAAGCCTGAACTTTTTACTTCCCCTACTCCTATTCCCAAACCTGCTCTTCCTGCTGTATGATAGATTTACCATGCAAGTCACCCAAGTCATATTTGGGAATTATCCCTGACCTTGGAGAGATAGGTACTCCTGACTCCAGCTTTCTTATAATCTATTCCATATATTTAATACATTGTTTATCAGTTTTTCTATTAACCTGTGAGCAGCTTAGGAGTTCACAGTAGGGTAAGAAGGAAAAGATACTAATATTTAAAATTTTTATTGAGTACTTACAACGTACCTGGCATGTTTATAAGAATAAATTAATAAATTTGACTAATCCAAACGATGTGTATTGAATATCAATTTTTATGGTGAACATTATACAGATACATAGAAGGACAACAAAGAATCTTGGCCTTCAAGTTTTCAATCTAGAAGGGAGAAATTAAGAAGTATACAAAGCACTTTGAGAGTTCAAAGAAAGAAGAGATATTGTTTCTTCCAGACTCCTTATCAGCCACCGATGGAGGAAAATAAAAGACCCTGGGAGAAAAATATCAGCCTGCTCAACTTCTACAATCTCTTCTAAATTTTCATCTATCTGTTTGAACTTTCAGCTCATTAAATTTGATGGTTGTAAAACTGCAACTTTCCTTCTTAGACTTCAGTGCTAATGGCCCCAGAACTGTAAAAACTATGGCACAGGTTTATATCATATAAAGAAACATGGTGCTAGTGTTTATAACCTTCAGCATGCTTACTCATTGGTTAAATCATAAAAAGAAAAGTTAAAGAGAAACTTACCAGTCCACAGAGAAAAAGAGTGAGTGGATAATAAGGCAGCTGAGACAAAAAGTATACTCTTCTTTTGAGAAGCTGGCTTCCTGACAGCAGGGATTAGATGGAAACACTCTCAGCAATCATAACCCTACATATTTCTGGTTCTCCTCTTGACTCTTTCATTGGTTTTTTTAAACTGAGAAATGTGGTCTCTCATATTTCTTTCTTCTCTGTAAAGACGGTTTTAGCTAGTCTGGAACCTTTACCTTTCCATATAAATTTTGGGATCAGCTTGTCAATTTTTGCAAAATCTTTGCTGGGATTTTGACTGGGATTGTACTGAATCTACAGATCAATTTGGAGAGAAATGCCATAGAAATAACATTAGGTATTCCAACCCATAAACATGGAATGTCTCTCCATTTATTTAGATTTTAATTTCTCTCAGCAATATTTTGTAGTTTTTCGTGTACAAGTCTTACACTTCTTTTGTTAAATTTACTCCTAAGGTGTTTATTCTTTTTGATGCTATATGATTGGAATGTTTTCTAAATTTCATTTTTAGATTGTTCATTGCTGGTATATAAATATGCCATTGAGTTTTGTATGTTGATATTATATTCTGCAACCTTGCTGAAACTGCTTACTAGTTCTAATAGTATTTATACGGATTTCCTACATAGACGATCATGTCATCTGTGAATAAAAACAGTTTTACTTCTTCCTTTCCAATATGAATGCCTTTTATTTCTTTTCCTTGCTTGATTGCACTGACTAGAATCTCCAGCACAATGCTGAAGAGAAGTGATGAGAGCTGACATCCTTGCCTTATTTCCGATCTTAGGGAGAAAGCACTCAGTCTTTCACCATTAAGTTTGGTGTTAGCTATGGATTTTTCATAGATATTCTTTATCAGGTTGAGGAAGTTCCCTTTTTTTCCTAGTTTGTTCAGAATTTTTATCATGAATGCGTGTTGGATTTTTGTCAAATGCTTTTTCTGCATCTATTGTCCTTTATTCTATTAACATTGTGCATTACATTTTCAGTTGTTAAACCAACCTTGCATTTGTGAGGTGAATCTCACTCACTTGGTCATGGAGTATAATCCTTTTTACATGTTGCTGGATTCAGTTTGCTAATATTTTGTTGAAGATGGTTGTGTCTATATTCATGAGGGATATTGTTCTATAGTTTCCTTTTCTTATAAGTCTTTGGTTTTGGTATCAGGGTAATATTGGTCTCCCAGAATGAGTTGGGGAGTGTTCCTTCCTTCTTTATTTTCTGAAAAGAATTTGTGAAGGATTGGTATTATTTCTTCTTTAAGGTTTATAAGATGACTGCTCTTTTTAATATCTTTAATCTTTTTTCCTTCATTGCATCCAGCACAAAGTTTTACCCAAAAAGTATTTGGGAATGAACTGAATTATGTAACAACATCCAAGAAATGGTTAAAGTAGTATTTAAACAGCATCCTGAATTTCAACAAAAGGCATTTCTAAACTGGGAGAATACTACGAAAAATAATCTCACAACTCTAAGTTCAAGAAAACTAGAATATTTACTTACTAGGTAATAGCTCTCTATCAGCGGTCTCTGTGCAGCTGGGATAAGGGTAGAATAGATGGCCTTTCTCTAATGGGTATGGAATCATTCTAAAAGCTGAGAAAAAAAAAATACATATGTTGGCATTTAATTCAGACTCATTTTCATCCTATACTACAGATCAAAGCTATTTTGGAGACATATTTTTATAAAGTTTTCACATAGAATTTTATTTTCTTTTTTAGAGACACATTTTAGATGAAAGAAACAAAGCAAAAGAAGAAATAAGGGGAAGAATAAGATTTATTTAGACAACAGTGAATGGTCTGGCTGGAATACAACTAAAGGGAGTAGTGGATAATAAGACTGGCTGGGTCCTTCTTGCCTCAGTCTCCTCATTGCAAACACAACAGACTTTGGCCAAAATATGAATTTTGTTTTGCCACAATAAAAAGCAGTGATTTGTTCAGAGTCACAGAGCAAATTAGTGATAACACTAGGAAATCATTCATCAAGATGATTATTCATGAAATACAGTATAAGTCATAGACTTATTGAAAACTTCCTGTGTGCCAAGCAGAACAGTAGGATTGAAGACACATACAAGATGAATGAGATACAGTATCTGGTTTTGAGGAGCTTATAGTAGTGAAAAAAGCAAAAGAAGGTCTAATTACCCACAGACATTCAGCTCCTCAGTTTTAGTAGTCTCAGTTTCATTAATCTGTATATCGTCAGTGTCAAGCACAGTGTCTGACCCTCAGCAAATGGTTAACGTAGAGGTTTCCAAATTTTCTTGGCTCAAGGATACATGGTGCCCTTTGTGTCTCAGTAATTTTTTATGACACCCCTAGGCTGAAAGAAATATCTAACAATTCCACTTATTAAGTAGTGGGTCCAAACAATTTTAAAAGTTTATGTTCTAACAACCTAGCAGTGATTAGAAAAAAAATAGACATAAATTAATAGAAAAAGTAATTATTTCATTTTTAAATAACCATCATTTCTTACTAATGCAATGTATGAGCCTGTTGGGCACTGTATAACTTCTCAAACCTTGAATCAGATTGAACACCACCATCCTCATTTCCTGTTCCACAATGATTTTTGTGTGGTACTTCTTTTTTTGTTTTTTTGTGAGGAAGATCAGCCCTGTGCTAACATGTGCCAATCCTCCTCTTTTTTTGCTGAGGAAGACTGGCCCTGAGCCAACATCTGTGCCCATCTTCCTCCACTTTACATGGGACGCCACCACAGCATGGCCTGCCAAGCAGCGCATCAGTCCGCGCCCAGGATCCGAACCGGCAAAACCCAGGCCACCGCAGCTGAGTGTGCACACCCAACCGCTTGCACCACCGGGCTGGCCCGTGTGGTACTTCTTTTAATCACAGCAATTAACAAAAACCCAGCTTTGCGAAGCTATGACAACATTGAAAGAAACAGAGAATGGAGAGCCACATAATGGTGAAACCATAAACTCTCTAGAGCTAAGAGTTTGAATGGTGTCTGACAAATGTTGAGTATTGCTGTGTTCTACTGAAAATTTAAAATATGCTGTGGCACTCTTGTAAATTTGCTGCATTGCCCCAAGGTGCCTCAGTACAAAGTTTAGGAACTGACGGGATCAACCAATTTTAGTGAATGAGCACTGAATTTATTTTTGAATTTTTGATAGCAGAGGTATACTTCCCAAGAGAATTATTATAAGGATTCACCTGATAAAATATTTTGATTAAGCTTCTTCATTTTCTTAGTGATTTTAAGAAGTTACAAATAAGAGATCTGGTAGTAAACTGAAAAGCAGTCCAATTTTCCAAAGAAGATGTACAAATGGACAATCAGCATATAAAAAGATGTTCAACATCACTTATTATTAGGGAAATGCAAATCAAAACCACAATGAAGGGCTGGCCCCGTGGCTTAGCGGTTAAGTGCGCGCGCTCCGCTGCTGGCGGCCCGGGTTCGGATCCCGGGCGCGCACCGACGCACCACTTCTCCAGCCATGCTGAGGCAGCGTCCCACATAAAGCAACTAGAAGGATGTGCAGCTATGACATACAACTATCTACTGGGACTTTGGGAGAAAAAATAAATAAATAAAATTATATTAAAAAAAAAAAACACAATGAGATACCACTTCACACCCATTAGGACGGCTATTATCAAAAAAAAACAGAAAATAACAAGTGTTGGCGAGGATACAGAGAAAGTGAAACCCTTGAGCATTGCTGGTGGAATGTAAAATGACACAGCTGCTATAGAAAACAGTATGGCGGTTCCTCAAAAAATTAAACAGATTTATATGATCTATAAATTCCATTTCTGGGTATATACCCAAAAGAATTGAAAGCAGGAACTTGAACAGATATTTGTATACCCATGTTCACAGCAGCATTATTCACAATAGCCAAAAGGTGGAAACAACCCAAATGTCCACTGACAGATGAATGGATAAACAAAATGTGAAATATACATACAATGGAATATTATACAGCCTTAAAAAGGAATAAAATTCTGACACATGCTACAACATTATGCTAAGTGAAATAAGCCAGATATAAAAGGACAAAATATTGTATGATTCCACTATATGAGATGCTTAGGGTAGTCAAACTCATAGAAACAGAAAGTAGAATGGTTACCAGGGGCTAGGGAGGAGGGAAGAATGGGAAGTTATTATAAATGGGTATAGAATTTCAGTTTGGGATGACGAAAAAGTTCCGGGGATGGATAATGGTGATAGTTGCACAACAACATGAATGTACATAATGCCACTGAATTGTAAATTTTAAAATGGTTAAAATCGTAATTTTTATGTACATTTTTCTACAATAAAAAATATTTTAAAAAAGAATAGAATTGATATTAGTTGTGAGAAAAATAGTTTCACGTTGTACACATCTGAAAACAAAACAAAACAACAGTCCAATTTAAAAAATATTAGAACAACAGCTCAACCACATTAAAAAGCTTACCAACCAAGGGATGTTAAGTTTTCACTTTCTTTCCTTACAAATATGTAATTTAAATGAACATATGGCAGAATACCGTAACAGTTTCTCATTCTGCTTTTCCTAAATGTAGCATCAATATAAATACATAAAGTATTTCTTCTACCAATAAACCAAATATAACACTATTGAGTTCACTTTGAAACCAATCTGAACACTAAATCCTTATGGAAACTCAGACAATCTCATTAAAAACGACTGCCTGTGAATGCAATGAATAGTCAGAGAGATTAGCATTACATTTGGAAAGAGTACTTACTGCCTTCCCATGTACACTGTAACAGATTAAGAGCACCTTCTATTCGCTTCCAGTGCTGAAGATGAAAGAAAGCATAGGCAATTGCTTCACTATCACCCCGTTTCAGAATGTGTTCTGGAGGTAAAATTAGACTTTTCATCTCTAGTAAATACTAGAAAAATAACACACAGACACACCACAGAAAAAAGAAAGATTAAATTATTCAAACACCCACGAAAATGCAGATTCAAATTTTATAAAGCCAATTTGATTTAAAAAACATTAAGCTAGTTGAAATGACTTGAGAGTCCTACTGACAAGTGTATAAAATGCTTATATATGCAAATTCCAAAGACTAGAATATTCCTATAGATAAAAATAAGGTGATAAATGGCTTAGGTGTGACCTTGCTAAATACAAAATGAAAACTTGAGCTGAGGAAATAACGTGAGAGCAAATATTTATTTTTCCAAAAAAGAATTAAGTGTAAAAATTATAAAATACAATTTTGGAACAACACTTTGTGGTAACATTCAATTCTTTTTTTCTCTTATTTCCATTTTACAGATGAAGGAACTTAATTATGAAGAAGTTCAATTAAATAAATATTTACTGAGTGCACTATATTTGTTAGGGAACACCAAAAAACACTCTATTCTCTGGAACTGTCTAAGGTACTGAGAATAACAGATTTTTTAAGTTAATAATTATAAATAGACTGTGCTGAGTGCTTCATTAGAGGTATAAACAATGTATATAGGAATATGGATAGGAAGTATTAATTTTTTTTAGTTTTTTTATAACAGCTTTATTGAGATACAACTTACTTTACAATTCACCCATTTAAACTATACAACTCAATGGTTTTTAGTATATTCACAAATACGTGCAACTATCACCATAGTCAATTTTAAAACATCTTCATCACCTCAAAAGGAAACTCTATACTCTTTAGTTATCACCCTCTACTCCCCAATCCCTCCTAAGCCCTAAGCAACCACTAATCTACTTTTTGTCTATAGATTTGCCTATTCTGGATATTTCACACAAACAGAATCACATAATACATGTTTTTTGTAACTGGTTTCTTTCACTTAGCATAATGTTTTCAAGGTACATCTATGTTGTAGCATATATCAGTACCTCATTCTTTTTGTAGCTGAATAATATTCCATTGTATGGATATAACACATTTGTTTATCCATTCATTATCTGATGGACATTTGGTTGTTTTCACCTTTTGACTATTATTAATAATGCTGTAATAAACATTCATGTACAAGTTTTTATGTGAACATCTTTTCATCTCTCTTGCGTATATACCTAGGAGTGGAATTTCTGGGTCATTTGGTAACTCTATGTTTAGGAGGTATTAATTATGACTTAGGGGCTGAAAATAAACCACTTGGAATTTGGGATTTGAGCTGATACATAAAGATGGGTGGAATGTGGATGAGCAGATTGGGGAGTGGTGTGGGGAGAAGAATAGGAGAACATATTCAAAGTACAAGGCCAACTTCAACCAAGACACTGAGCCAAGAGAGCATAGTGCAAGATACATTTAAGGGATTAGTGAGTATCCCTGTTGAAGAAGTTAGAGCCTATCAATTCTTATTCACAAATGAAATTAAATTCTATCTTAAACTCTTGAAGAAAATACTTGCCTTAATATTGCAATCCATAACAAAAGCTGTATAATCAGTTATTACAAAATGTACTAATTATATGAAGAAAGATGCAAAATTAACCACTTGTACATGATCTTTACTATTAAAATGGTCAACTTAAAACAAAATCTTTAAAAAAATATTTGGTTAGGGGCCTGCCCGGTGGCATAGCAGTTATGTTCGCACACTCCGCTTCAGTGGCCCGGGGTTCACGGGTTCAGATGCGGGGCGCGGACCAACACACAGCTTGTCAAGTCATGCTGTGGTGGCATCCCATATAAAGTAGAGGAAGATGGGCAAGGATGTTAGCCCAAGGCCAATCTTCCTCAGCAAAAATAGATTGGCCACAGACGTTAGCTCAGGGCTAATCTTCCTCACAAAACAACAACAACAACAAAAAACAAACAAACAAAATATTTAGTTAGCTAAATACTTACTCCAAAGACTGAGACTAGAGTACACTTCCCCTACTAAAATAAGTGTGAAACAATCTCTTTGGTTCTAAATAATTTGATACCAAATTATGAGTCATAAGATCCAAACAACATTAACTTCTGTAATAAAATATAAAAAAGACAAACATTCCAGAGGTGTCTCAAAAGATATATTTTCACATTTCAAATTCCAAGTTCCTCAGGTTGTTACACAAACTGAGATAAACAACATAAATTAAAGAGTTGAATTTGTAAAACTGCTACAAGCAGGAAGAATCTTAAAAACAAAAAGCTGTAGTTTCAAAATTTAAGCCTTAGGTTATTAATCAATATATATATACTCATTGTATTAATACATCTAAAATAATTTTCTTTTTTGTTTATGAAATATGCCTTTCCAACATTTACTGTGCTTAATGCCCATCTTTAATTATTCTTACTCCTATACCCCAATAAGGCTGAAATTAAAAAAAAAAGATAAAAGAGATTAATTACTCTTAGTCTTGATGTCTCTGGCTCTTTCCTCAAAGTGTAAGAATGCGATCTGCTCATCAATTTATTTTAGCAGATGTCACAAGCTATGAGATTATTTACTAATCCAGTTTGGGGACTTAACATTTCCCATTCAGTTTCTTAAAGGAATGCAGCAGAGGTTGTGTCCTGGTCAAGCAAAGCCCATTTGCTGCCTGGTTGGGTTCTCTCCCTTTAGTGCCTTGGGCCTATATTCAGGAGGATAATATTCTTTCTAATCCTCTCTAATCCTTGCCCATTTTTTTAAAACACAGTAAAAGATCACTCGCACCAGGCGGCTGTGGGAAAATGGACTCAAATAGCTGACCTCTGACATGACTCCTTATGCTCTTTGCAAGTGCACTAAGAGCTTCTTCAGTAGGAAGCAAAGAAAATGTGGCAATCACAGTGGAATCTCCATCATAAAAACAGTATCTTATTTTCAGAAGAAAATTGTTTAATACAATTTTTCTTATTTTCAGAAGAAAATTGTTTAATACTTAAACCAAGTCCTTCCTATTAAAATTCTGCTTCATTTTACAGATAGAGACAAAATATCTCTAATTATTTTCAGTGATTTTTAGAACCCTGAAGCTTTAAACTAAACCCTATCTTGGTAGCCACTTAGCAAATGGTAAGCAAAGATATTCAGTTAAAAATTATTCAGTAAAACTTATAAAAAATATCAACTTACTATGTCAATAAAATACTTTTTGAACAGCAACTATGTATCTATATTTTCACTGTTTAATAATCTAAGTGACAATTCAGATAGTAATCAAACACATAGCACACTTAGGAAATAATACTTCAGGATTTTACATTAAAAAATCTTTGCTATTTAATGATTAAAAAAATTTTTCCTTATGCTACCTTAGTTTTTATTATCGTGTCATACCTACCAGCAAAGATCTTTTTCAATTTGCTTTAAAGCAAAGCCATTCTTATTTTTGAGTTTCTAATAAGACATTGAAATAAAATTTCACTCTCAAAATTTAAGAGAAAATTTCCAGTTAACGAAAATGTATTTAAAATAGATAATTATATGATTATTATTTTATCTCCTTCACAAACTGCTACTCATGAATTTCTGCTATCCAGCATAAGCTATAAGTTACTGCACAATAGAAACCATATCCTTCAATATTACAGCACATTGCATATTATACTACCCACAGTAGGCAGTAAAATACTTATTAACTGACTTGATCTGATATATATAGCTAAAATGTCTTCAAACTCATATTTCAGTTTTTACTTAAAAATATTTTCTAACTCTCTGGGGAAACCAAAACCAAAAAAGTTCTGCTGTGCAGACTTTACTTTTCTACGAAGAATATGAAAGGTTAAAAACTGAGGGGTGGTTTGTTTTGTTTTGTTCTCTTTTTCTGCTTATGCAAGTACATGCTCAGTGTACAAACATGCAAACATTGCAGAGTTACATAGTAGAAAATAACATATTACAAGATTGAAGAATAAAAGAATAAAGATAATCTGATTTGTGTTTGTCTGGATTTCTTTTTTTAAGCATAACATACTGACTCTATTTTTCTTAAAAATAGGATCAAGCCATTATACAACTCACTTTTACTTCACAATATATCTGTACATCTCTTCTTGTCTCTATATAGCTCTAACTCACTATTATTTATTTATTTATTTATTTTTTGGTGAGGAAGATCAGCCCTGAGCTAACATCTATGCCAATCCTCCTCTTTTTGCTGAGGAAGACCAGCTCTGAGCTAACATCTATTGCCAATCCTCCTCCTTTTTTCACCTTTTTCTCCCCAAAGCACCCCCCAGTAGACAGTTGTATGTCATAGTCGCACATCCTTCTAGTTGCTGTATGTGGAACGCCGCCTCAGCATGGCCGGACAAGCAGTGCCTTGGTGCGCGCCCCAGATCTGAACCCGGGCCGCCAGTAGCGGAGCGCACGCACTTAACTGCTAAGCCACGGGGCCGGCCCCCTCACTATTTTTAATTGTTGTATAATATTTCATTAACAGCTGAGTTATTTTACAAGTTAAAAAATAGAGTCCTGCTGGAATTTGGCCTCCTAAGAGGCCAAAATCGATATCATTAAGCAAAACTCATAAAAATATTAAATGGCTTAAAAATTCCAAAAAATGATGGGGTCTAAAATTTTACTTTCTTTAACTTAGATAGGCCTTTACAGCAATGCAGATCTAAATTAAAGACATGTCCAATTACCAAACATTTACTGAATGCCTGTTATGTGCTAGGCAGAGCATCAGACATAAAATGCTGGGTAAGACACGAGTTCTGCTTTTCAAAAAGCTCACAGGGAACTAAGGGAGACACATATAAACAAACCAAAAAAATAAACAAATAAAAGATATGATTAAGGTACTGAAGAAACAGAGAAGAGAGAGCCATAATCTCTGCTTGAGAAAAGTGGGGAAAAAACCTCTATACAGGAGGCAACAGATGAACAGGGTCTTGAAGAATGCCAGGTGGAGCAGAGATTGAGCATATGTACAAAGGTAGGGAGACATGATGAGACATGACCAATCCAGGGAATAGTAGCACTGAAATAAGGA